GTAATATATAAGAGTAAGAAAAGGTATAAGATAAGCTATAGACCTTTACTTAGTAAAAGGGGTAGTCTTTTAAGGAGTTCTTACTAGAATTTAAAGAGACTTTAACTTAAGCGGCGGGTAATACTACTTAAGAAGATAGCGCTAAACTTACCTAGCTATAAAACTTAATCTTCTTAGCGCTTTAAGACCTACTTATCCTTATTATAATACCCTTTACTTATAAGGGCTATATAGCTTACTTTATAAAGGTAGCTTAAGGATATAAGTAAACGCTATACTTTTAAAAGCTATATAAGCGCTTAGCTTTAAGCGGAACTAACTAGCTAAATAGTTCTTCCTTACTTAGCTTATTTATAACTAAGCCTACTCTTAAGTTAGCGACCGATATAAATAATAATATCTAAATAGCGGCTATATACCTTAAGGGGCATAGTTATAGTAAGGCCCTAGCTACTTTATTAATAGTATAGCTTAGTAAGATAGCTAAGTAAGTACCTTATAAGGAAATAAATAAATAATATAAAGAGGGCCGCTATATATATTATAGTATAAGTATATATATAGTTAGGTTATACTTTAACCTTTTAGTAAGGGGGCTAGTAAGATATAAGTTACTTATACTTTATTAAAATCTAATAATAAAGGAGATAAAGAAACCTCCGCTATATATAAAGTAAAGGTAAAAGCTTAGCTTTAGTATAAATATAGGCTTTAGAGCTTAGTAAGCTAATACTAGCTAAAGAGGACTTAGTAAAGTATATTAAAAAAGAACTTATATTAATACTAGTTATTATAAACTAAACTTACTTTCTTTTTACCCTTATAAATAAGGGCTATTAATATTACGCTATAATTAGTAAAGTAAAAGCCCTTAAGCTATACTTACTAATAAAAAAGATTTACCTTAAGTATATAAAGGGCGCTTTAGCCGCGATAAAATGCGCGGTTATTAAAGGTATCGCCTAAGTAACTATAAAGGTTAATAGCCTCTTATAGCTACTAATAGTATCTATAGTACCTTAGCTTAAGTTTCCCTTAATTATTAAAAAGCTATAGTTAATATATATAAAGTTATACTTAGTACTATATAAAAAAAGGCTATAGTTTAGACCTATATAGTCTTAAGTTTAGTATAATAATAAAGGAGAAAAAGCGCTAAATACCTTACTTAACTTATAAGATACTTAAGAAGTCTTAGCCTTAGTATTTATAAGTATATTATAGTAGATTTATAAGCGGAAAGGGCTAGCTATAGCTATAGTATTAATCTATATAGTTAGCTTAGTAGATATTAAGAAAGCGCTATAACTAAAGCGCCTTATATTAAAAGAGGAGCTATTATAAGCTATCTTATTATAGTTCTATAACCTATTATAGCTCTTTTAAAAATGTAAGGCTAATAAGTTAAACCCCTATAGCTAGGTATAGCCTATATAATACTGCTTTATATAAAGGATAATAGTAAGGAGCTTCCCTTATTATTTAAGCTACTATATAGTATATTATAAAAGGAACTACTAGTATTAAAGAAGACCTTTATAAACCTCTTTAATAAGGGATTTATTAAGGTTAGCTCCTTTAAAGTAATAGCTCTAGTCCTATTTATATAAAAGCTAAGAGGGGTACTTTATTTTTATATAAACTACTAAGCGTTAAATATAATTATACGCTTAGACTAGTACTTCCTTTTACTTATAAGAGAAACCCTTTATAACCTAATAAAGGTAAAGTAGTTTATAAAGCTTAATATTATCTAAGCGCTTTATAAGGTATAAATAGTATATAGGGAGAAGTAAAAGATAGCGTTTTATATAAGATATAGCTTATTTAAGTAAATAGTTACCCTTTTTAGCTTAATAAGTGCCCTAGCTATATTTTAATATTATATTAACTAAGTACTTAAGGGTTTCCTTAATAAGTTTATATCTATATATATAAATAATATTCTTATTTATTTAAGTAGGAGCTATAAGGACTATATATAAAGGGTATAAAAGGTATTAAACTACTTAGCGGAATATAGCTTATACCTAAACCTAAATAAGTATAAATTTAGTATTAAGCGTATTAAATACCTTAGCTTTATTATTATTATAAGTATAAGTATATAAGTAAACTTAGCTAAGATTAAAGCTATTTATAATTAAGCGGCCTTAATATTATAATAAAGTATATAAAGCTTCCTTAGCTTTACTAACTACTACTAAGTTTTTATTAAGGAGTTCTCGCGGATTATACTACTACTTAATAAGCTAATAAGAGATAGGGCCCCTTTTTCTTAGTAACTTATGTAAGTAAAGGCGTTCTAAGCCCTTAAGGACTTATTTTTATAGGCCTTTTTCTATATATATTATTATTTATATATAGCCTTTAAGGCTATAATAAGGCTAGTAAGAGGAGCCTCTTATTAATAGTCCTAGCTAATTATCTAACCTTATAGCTTATAATTAATTAAGGAGGATTTTCCTTTATATAAATATAAAGATAATAAAGAAAAGGTTAATTTAGCTAGTCTTATACTATATCTTTCCCCTTTATTACTAGGTTTCTAAGCCCCTTATATTTTCCTATATTAAGGATTAAAGTAGTTATAAAGGTTAAGAGGCGTTATAGCGTTATAGCTATACTATCTTATTATTATATAGCTTAAAACCTATTTTATTATATAGCCTTAAAGCTATTTTTACCTTATTATAAGCGGGGACTATTAGTATTAGTTAGTTAAGGCTAGTAATAAAGTAGCTAGATAAGCTAAGAAGGGGGAGTAGGATTTAAACCTATAACCTTATAAAAGAAGTAAGTCTTTTAAGCGCTTTTACTATTATACTATCCCTTCTTTTATAGGCCTTAGTACTGTCGGGCGGTGCGCGCACAACCCACACTGTCCAATCAGCAAAGAGCCGAGGCCCGGCGCGCACTGCGACGGGGTTGTGTGCGCACATCGCGCGCACTTTCTCCTCGCGCACAGCCTGGCGTGGCACCCAAATTCCATCGTCCAATCAGTACCTCCAGCCCAGTCGCGGCGCAGGTCTTGCGCTGGTCTCTCGCTGCCCATCACTCCTTTGTGTGCGAATCGATGCTTACGGCTTAGAGGCGCCCGCGCCTCTTGAGTTGCGGAAGAAGCCGTTGATCGATGGAATCGCCCTGCCCGTGTCATACTTACCGGAGCAGGCTTTTGTCCTCGACGTGTTGGCCGGCAATTGTCTCACTCCGTGATGGCTCGCTGGGTCCCGCCGCAGCTTGTGAATACGCAAGTGTGTCGTCCAAGTGCGAAGTAAAGACCATGTGCAGACATGTTCACATAGGGGACAGTTGGGGCCCTTGGGGGCGAGCATCACCCTGCCAGTGCCAATCAAGCAGACACCCTGACAGTAATGACCCTCGTGGCCAGCGCATCGTTCGCGGAGCTGAGGTGATCATGCTGATCGCGCCGCGCGCGGAGCTTGACCATGCATATATGACGGCGAGCCAATGCTTCGAGAGGATTGACTGATGACCAGGTAAACGACCGCTGCTTTAGGATTTACTTAGGATTAGCTCTAGGATGCAGCATCACTTTCTCAAGGATCCAAGGTCGGTGTGCAGTAGTCAATCCTATGTCTGTAGAGACAAAGTGCGGCAAAACTATTAAGAAGCTTTAATTGTCGCAACATCTCCCACTATAATCACTTCAGCTCACTTTCACATCGTTTCATCATTGTCAAGGTCATCTACCGTCAAAAGTCTAAATCATCTTTTCCACTTCAACCTATAGTACAGCTTAGCATGTCCAGCGGAAGCCTCGTGTGCAACAATATCCTCGCGGTCCTATACCAGGCGGCTCGTGGACATGACATGGAATTCAGGTCGAAGAATTTTTGGCAAAACCTTCTAATTCAACAATTCACCTATGCCCAGGGCTATACGGTCAACTCGGAAGTGAGTCCGGACGGAGATTCGCGAACGCGAGTGGATTTAAGCGTCGGCCTTGTTACCGAGGCGCATCACCACACATTGCTTTTACTCGAAGCAAAAAGGACAGGGACGGGAGCTAAACCTATACGGGAAGTTGAAAATCAGCTGGCCGAGGCAGCCAAAACATATCTTCGGACAACTAGATCACGTCTCGTTTACGGCATGACGACCTGGGGCACAACCGCCCGGTGCTGGTGGTTCGAGTTACAAGCAGACAACAAAGTCAGAAGGACAGCATACTTCGGAGAAAACGAAATCACCTATGCGAAAGATGAATACATCGATGCAAACGACGAGAGAGCCTTTTTCATTTCAGCCTTTTTTGCAAAGATCAGGGGTGATGGACCTGTTCCTGTACCTACCGCGCTTCAGTTGCCGTCTCAAGCAGGGGGCTCACAAGGAGGCTACAGCTACTCGGCTCACCCAGCAGGGTCATCTGGGACTTATCATGTGGCGGGCTGGGATTAGTCAGCAAGTCGTGTTTTGAGGAGGGCGGCTCGACGCGGGGCCCGGCGGTGGCGACCCGACCCAGCCAGCTGCCCTTGTTCCTAAGAGCTGATTGATGAATTCCACTGTTTGACCCTCACCAAATATTGCTCCGATTCTGTCAGTCTGTCCCGGTGAGCGTGGCCTTCGAAATGCACAGCGCGCGACGCTGTGCACTTTGCCAATTCGACATCGATGTGACGGACAAGATGGCCATACGTCTGTCTTCCCCCACTGCCCAAGCTTCGAGAGCCAACTTACGGGCAAGTCGAGAGCTAACTTATGGGCAAGTCGACGTAGAGGAACGACCGGCTCCATATACAGGCCTATCACCGCCTAAGCGCATCGTCTCCAGCGATATCGATTGCCCAGACCTTCGTCATGCTTGCCATGCCTTCTGTCAGGAGAGGGTAGAACCGGTCTGCTTGCAAGCATTGCTTCGCGTGACAAAGTATTCCCACATGACCACTGAGGATGAGGAACGCCGACGTCGCCTATGGCTGCGAGATCGTCTAAGGTCTGAGCTCGAGGCCTACTACGCCGTCGAAGCCCCCTGCAAAATGAGGAATCTAAGCTCAGATCTCTGGCATTACATAGCAGACTATCTTCTGCCACACTACGCGTTACTGAACATCCGCGGAGTTCTGCCTGGCCCCCGCGCCGTCTCCATCAACAGCATCACAACAGCTAAGAAGATGTGGTACGGCTTCACCGATTACGAGGGCACAAGCTACGTTTCGTGGCTCTCTAGCTCTCCTAGAGGGCCTAGATCCCTATCGCTTGCTTCCAATGCCGACCGTGCTCCCGGGTGTCTCCTCCTCACGGCAGAGAATCATCTTGGCATCACAGACGTGCGGCTTTCTGACTTCCGTGAGTCGAATGCCATCAGCGAAAGACCCGGAACTTGGTGGCGGACTATCCCACTTGATTGCCTGGGAATGAAAGTCGATGTAGAGTCGGATGTAAGTTGCATTCCTATCAGGCGTGGTATCCTAGCTCATCATCTATCAGGGCATCAAACTTCGGCGCTTGGTGTGTGGAGATCTTGGAACCATCGCGTGGAGCGTCCCAGAACCAAGAACACCCCGATTTCACTACTTCACCGACGGCAGCTCGTCCCGGGCACCTGCTCGTATGACCTTTTTCCGATCCAATCATCCAGAGGCGACTGGCTACTCGTTCCTTTGGGATTGCGGCCTAGTTCACATTCACGCGCACGTAGCTGGTGAAGACACGGCGTTCTATCGATCATTGCCGCCTGGTTCCTGGCTGTACATGCCAGTAGACCACGGCGAATTCATCTCAGAAATTTGGCAGCAAAAGTCCCTCTTCTTCCGAGAACGGGCTATCGCGGTAGGCTGGCGAACTCGTTCTTGCCGCTAGGCGAATCTGACCGTGCGCCTACGCAGTTTGTGACGAACAATGGCCGAGTCTTTGTAGCAGGTATCTATCTGAGGGCGGACCGGATGCCATTTGTCTTGATAGAGCGCCCCAGTCAAGAGCTCGGTCGGATCTACTTCGAGAGTTCGGCCAACGGAATCGGGGCTCTTGCATTTGCAACAGATGCTCCGAGGATAGAGCACTTGCTTTTCAAATGCCCCCAGCCGTCGCCAAACAATATACTTCTTTCTATCGAGAACTACTTCTTCTCTTCACATTCTCTGGATCGCTTGGAAGAAGTCACGCCCTGTCTCGCCAAGGACGGTACGGGCGTCGTCGGCCTTATCCTTCATTTCCCAGATGGACATCGAGGAAGCCTTGGACAAGTAAGATTCGACTCTTTGGGAGACCGCTTTACTATTGCTGAAAAACCGTCGTGGTTCCTCGGATTCGGGAAGCAGCAGGGTAGATACCCCTACGTTGTGAAGGTTGCAGCATGCCGACCGAGAGTGGACGGAGATGTGCAGGATGTCATGGAATTATCTCGCACGGGTAAACTAGAGTGGATTTGGTCTGAACGACAGTGCCTGGTCCTCTACAACGGTTGCAGGAGCCCTCCGACGACCTAGAAAGGGGTCGATGTATGAGGATAATAGCGATACGCGACGCCTCTCAAGCTCGCGTTGACCTATAGGGGTAAGAATAGAAAAGTAGATGTAGGATTATCGCGGTCATGCTCGGCAGACTACGGATGAGCGTTCACGGATGCATCCGAGCATACCGGGATATTGCCTAGAAGGCATTTACACGGAAACGAACAGCGATCTTATATTTTCCCGAGCCTAATAGTAGCTTCCTAAAGTCTTCTACGATATGCTCCTTATAGAGAGGCGAGATTTTTTCGTCTCTACTATAAGCCCTCGCTAGCCCTAGCTTAGACGCTATATATAGTATATAGCTCCGAGCCCTTTAGTTTAAATTAAGGTAGTAAGTAGGCAGCGTACTAGATTAATTCTACTAGTATAGGTTTTAAGGCCTTAGCTAAGACGGCCTAAAAAAACAGTATCACGTCTTCTCGACTAACTTTTTAAAACTAAGCCTAAAACATAAAAAGAGTATACGCTTAGAACCGTCGTAAATAGCGTATTACGCCCCCCTAAGTATAGCCTCGTATAGCTACTAGCGGGTACGTAATATACTACTAAAGATTGCGAATTAAGCGATATTCTCCCTTATATAGGTAGAAAACTCTTTCCTACCCTCGCTAACTAAGGGTATATACCCCCTATAAACGGGACCTAGCCTAGACCTAACCTAGGACCCCGGCCTAGACCTAAGGAGGGCCCCTATAAACCCCCTTAACCTAAGGGCCGAAATAAGTACTTTAGAGGTTAAGGCCCGCTTAAAAGAAGCTCTAAAGGCTAATATCTTTTAAAGACCTTAGAAGGAAGGCCTAGGACCTAAGACTAGGACTTAAAGGATATTAAGATAAAAGATAATACCTAGCTTATATTAAAGACTAGCCTTTTTAAGCCTAGCTTAGCCTTATTTTAAGCTAGCTACTTTTAGCTTAACTAGCCTTTAAAGTAAGTAAAAAGGTAAAAGAGAGCTACCCTTAGTAGCCTTATTAGCCTTATACTTATCTAACTTATATTTTAATACTTATAGTAGACTTAGCCTTAGCCCTAGCACCCTTTTCCTAGGGACCGGGCCTAGGGCTTTCTTTAGTAAGCCTTTTAAGCCCTTAAGAAAGCCTAAAAAATTAAACCCTTTTATAAGACCTTTATAAAAGGGCTTAAGAAAGTAGCTATAAGGACCCTAGACCGTTAATAGCCCTTATAATAGCCCTTATACTAGCCTAAGGCCGCTTAATAGCCTAAGGCTACTTAAGGAAACCTTAAAGTAAGCTTATAGGCTAAGGTTACTATAAAGAAGGCGCTTAAGGCTCCGGCTAAGGCCCTAGCTAAGGCTCTAGCTAAGAGGAACGTAAAAAAGGACTTCTAGCTTATCCTAAAGCTAAAGAAGGGATCGTTAATACTAACTATTAACCTTATTACTCTTTATAATAAGCTTAATAAGGCTATAAGGGAACTAGCTATATTAGCTCTATTAGCTTTAAATAAAAGTAATATAGTTATAATAATAAAGGCCCCTTATATAGTAAAGAAGCTTCTAGAATAGTAAGAGAAGTAGTCCTTATACTTTAAGGAGCTACCTATTAAATTAGCTAACCTTCCTACTAGCTAGACTAAGCTAGTAGCCTAAAGCGTCCCTAACCTCTTAGAGACCCCTATCCTTAATATCTTTACTATAGAAGCTAAAACCTTTAGTAGGATCGATATCCTAAGGTAGCCTAAGTAGCTAGGCACCCTAAGCCTAATATAGAAAGTAGGATCTATTATCTTTATAGTCCCTTTAAAGGCTATAAGGGCTAAATACTAAAAAAAGGCCTTTATATAGTAGGTCTATAGATTTAAGTTAAGGCCTATAAGGAATATACTATATATATATAGTGCTATAGGTGCCTTTCCTTTAGCTATAACCCTTAGACCTACTAGTATATTATTAAGTATACCTTTTACTTAGAAAAGCACTTAACTAAGGACTATAACTACCTTAGCTATAAGGCTAGCTAAGGCTACTCTTACTTTAAGGTCTAATACTATAACTATAAAGGAGAGTACCTTATAACTAATAAGGTATAATATAAAGTCTATAAAGGAATAATTAATACTTAATAGCCTTAGCCCCCTTATACTTATAGGGCCCTTAAAGCCCCTTAAGCCCCTTAGGTTTAACTATAACTTTATTTATATTATATAGTATAATACTAATAGGTAGGAAATAACTACCTTATTAATCTTAGAGTAAGCTTTAAAAATAAAAGCGGACCTTATCTTATTATAAGAGCCTTACCTTTATAATATTAATAATAGCTATATCCTTATATAGTATCTAGCCTATAATATTATAACCTTTATCCCTTCTATTAAATTTCCTAAGCTTACTAAGAGGCCTAGGGTTATAGCTTATAAGTAAAAGAAAGCTTAGATAAAAGCTAGCCCTAGCTTTAACCTCTTTTATAACCTTAATATATAAGCTATAAGGGTAAAAAGTACTAAGCCGTTTACCTTTATTAACTATAAGAGTCTTTAATTATTATAGGTTATAGGCTTAGGCTATAGCCTAAGCTATATAGTTACGTATAAAGGGCCGGATCCTATATATATATATATAGGCTAGCTATATATAGGAGAGCTCTATATAGCTTATTAATATTATTCTATAGATAGTACTTACGCGTACGCCTCTACCTACTCTATAATAGTATAAGCTATTAACTAATAGATCTAATAGATATCTCTTTAAAAAGGGCGCCTCCCTCTTAAAGAAGCACTCCGCCCTTCCCTAGATAGATAGGAAGTATTATAGCTATCCTAAAAGCGATTAAAAGCGCGACGGCTAGCGAGAAGGATAAGGTTCTCGCTATACTAAGGGAGCCGTCTATAAGACTAGCTTTAACTCCTATAACCTCTATAACGCTAGTTATAGCGGTAATACTACTAACGCGGAAGCCGCTCCCTTAGCTAACTTAGGATAATAAGCCGGAGTCCTTTTACTTCTTCCTTAGCCGGCTATAAATAAAGTTTATAACCTATAAGAAATAAGGCCTAAATAGCTATCGCGATATAGCGTAGTATTTGCTCCTTTATACGCTACTAGAGCCCTAGATATAGCGGATCTCTAGATTCTAAGATAAGGGCGGCCCTAAGGGTAGACGCGACCTATAAGACTTCTTTTAATACCTTATATATACGTTCGGTAATATATAAGAGCGGGAGAAAGCGTAAGATAGGCTATAAACCCTTAAGTAGAGAGATAGATAAACCTTTAACGAATTCCTTCTTAATTTTAAAGAGACGCTCTTATAAATAGCAGGGACTATAGTATAGGAAGATAGCGCGAAGCTTATATAGCTATAGAATTCGATTACGCTAGCCCTATAAGAGCTACTTATCCTTATAATTATACTTATTAACTACGGCGAGTATATAAGCTAGTTAATAAAGGTAGCTTAGGGCTATAAATAGACGCTATATTTCTAGAAGCTTTATAAGCGCACGCTATATAGTAGCGATAGGATTACCGCCCCTTTATAAGATAAATAACTAGCTATCGATATTAATAAGGATACTTTAATATCGGCTACTTATATAGACTAAGCTAAACGCGGTAAGAAGACGCCGTTAACTACCCCTTATACCGCCCTATACTTTAAGTAGTAGGCGAAGTAGGTAACGAGTAAGGAAATTAAGAAGAGGAAAGCTAATAGCCGCTACCTATATTATAGAGTATCTATATACTTTATATTAAAATGCCCCTTCCTTTTAGCTAAGCGGCCTATAGCGGTTTAAGTAGTAAAGATAAAACCGCTCCTTACCTTAGATAATAAGGAGGACTTCGCCCCCCTAGGCCTAGAGGAAAAAAAGTAGCTCTAAAGTAAAGATAGGCTCCGGAGCCCTAATTACTAATACTAGTAAAGGAGAAAGAGGAATTATCCGCCTATATAAAATAGGAGCCTACTTTAATATAGGTTATAATTAATAACTCCTTACTTATTACCGCCCTTATAAACGAGGGCTATTAATACTACGCTATAGTTAACGAGGCGCTTATATAAGAGATATAAGTACTAGTAGAAAAGATCGCCCTAAGGTAAGTAAAGGGCGCCTTAAGCGTAATAAAAGGTATAGTAATTAAGGGTATTATATAGCTAGCTATAGAGGTCGATAGTTACTATAAGCTTATCGTAGCCTATATAATCCCTTAACTAGAGTTTCCCTTAATCTTTAGGAAACCCTAGTTATTATATATAGAGTTATACTTAGTTTTATATTAAAGGAAGCTATAGTTTAGGCCTATATAATAGTAGGTCTACTATAATAATAGTTTTATAAGTATAGGACTAAGTATATAAGCTTTATACTTAGTATAAGAAGTCCTTACTTTTATTTTTATAGGAACTATATAATAAGTAAAGTAGGGGTAAGGCCGGGTAGCGGCTATTATAGCGGTCTATATAGTTAGCTTAGCGGATATCGATAAAGCCCTTTAAATAAAAAAGCTAAAGTCGCCTTTTAAGCTATAGTAGTAGATACTAAAGCGCTTTTACGACCTCTTACCGCTATTTAAGTCCT